TTAGAATAACAAGAAGTTGGAGGAAGGAAAGTTCTCAATACTCTCCACTTTTTCACTCCACATTTATTTATTGTTTTTTGTTTTTTGTTTTTTTAATTTATATCTACTACATCGACAGATTCAACCAACCTTAGATACCACATACTTTGGCTACCATGTTTGTGTCTATACTCAACATGTACCGATTTTTTTCTGTTGTTATTCCTAATAAGTATAATGTAGCTGTTTACATGATATCTACATTGTATTCAGTATTTTAAATAATCTCAGGTAATTTAAAGTATAAGAGGATTTGTGTAGGTTATATGCAAACATTATGCCATTTAATATAAAGGACTCGCATATCCTTGAACTTTGGTATCTGTGGGGCTAGGGAGTTGGGGGAGAAGGTTCCTATAAATCAATCTTCCATGGATACCAAAGAGACATCTGTAGTCATATAGACAAAATAATTGCATACCATATATACATATGTATGGGGTATATATAAGTGAAAAAAAGAAAAGAAATAACTGATTTTCTATCCTCAAACTTAAAAAAGATAATATTGCCAGGCCCTCCCTGGTGGTGCAGCTTATTAAAGCACAGCACTAAGAGCTAAAGCCACTTCAGTGAAAGTTCAATCCCCACCCTGGAGGTGACCCGCATGGCACGACACACCTCTCCTGACCTGCCCACTGCCCCCCTCAGCAGTGTACTTCTTCAATCGGACTGTTCTGCTCCCCTCTGGTGAATCCTGTCACTGTCCTTGCACCTCTGGTTTGTATCCCAGTTCTGTATGCATAAATAAAAAAATAAATCTTAAAAAAAAGAGAGAGAGAGAAGATTGCTAATGCCTTTGAAACCCTCAGTGACCTCCCTCAAAAAATGGGTGAACAATGTGAATTGTTCGCATGTCTTCCCCTTGTCTTTGCTTGCATTGCCCGTGTGTGTATGCCTCAACAGTGTGTTGCACTGGGTGAGGTTTTGGCTCTCAAGTTATGTGACATCGACCCATATCCTTACATTATCCACTTTATTCTTTTTTCCCCATGAGTGGCAGGGAGACCCCTGTCAGTAAAACACATTGTTTCTGTTATCCAAAAGACCTAATAAAGAGGGACTTTAGAAAAGGATCAGTTGTGATGTTTACATGAGCAAAGAGTGAAAATCAATGACTAGAAGGGGAAAAAAAATAAAAACAAGTGGAGGCAGAGTAGAATGTTATATAGCAAGGAGGACCTCCCTGGTGGCGCAGTGGGTTAAGACACAGCACTGCAAGCTGGCCACAGCCATTTCAGTGTGAGTTCAATCCTGGCCCCAGAGGTGATCCACATGGCACAGCAGACCTCTCCTGACCCACCCGCTGCTCCCCTCAGCAGTGTACTTCATTGATCTGCCTGTTCTGCTCCCCACTCTGTCTCTGGTGAAGCCTCTCGCCACCCTGCACCTCTGGCCTATACACAGTTCTGTATGCATAAATAAATAAAATATTAAAAAAAAAAAAAGTCATACAAAGAGTTTGGGCTTCTCGTGCAGGCCGTTTGGAAACAAGGGTTTGAAGAAGGTAGTGACACCTGTTAACTGCTGCAAAGAAGATGAAATGGGAAACCAGAAAGCAAGGAAACACCTAGGCTGGCAAGGATGTGGGTGTGGCTAGAGGGGTGTCTAGGGAAACGTTGGGACAGCACTTAGCAACTGGATGCATGTGGGAAATGCAAGAGAAAGAGGAGTTGGGACTGACTGAAAGATTAGAGGTACCTGATTACCTGATTGGAAATGTTCATGATAGAGTTGAGAGCCATGTTCATTTGCAGACTAAAATGCCATGGTCATCTGTATGCCATTGTCCAAAAAAAAAAAAAAAAGATTAATTCCAGCCTTTCTCTCAAGAAAGGAATCAAGAGTGCACAGATCGACATTTAAGATTTTAAAGAGTGGTGGGGTTTTTGTGTATTAAATGTTTTCTTTTGTTAAATGACTCCATCTGTGAGTACAACTTCCCTTACTTTCAGTTTCTCATACATAAAATGAGTGACTGGAGTAGAATGGTCTCTAAGGCCCTTTTGATTCTTGTGATTGTGCAATTTTCAGAACATTGCCCAGAAATAGTAAACAGTAGCAAATGAAATTCATGAGCTTGAGAAACAGAGAACAAAATTCTAATGCCTGTTCCAGTGTGAACTAGACAGTGTGACCACACCCTTGGCTCTCATAGTCTCTTCCTGCTGAAATCTGAGTGTGATAAAATGTCACAAGGCTCTGTGGACCTGGTGTACATAAAAATGCCCAACGCAGTGCCTAGCATATTGTAGGGACAGGGCAAAGATTGATTTCCTCCCTCCCTTCCTTCCTTCCTTTGTTACTAAAGGGAGAGCACTAGTCTGGCTCCCCGTTGGCGCTGGGGTGAAACCTCTTTTGTAGACTCTTGAGGTACCCCAAAACAACTGTTGTACCAGAGAAATGATGTCCACGAGTCTTTCTCAAAGACACAAGACCTGTCTTTGAGCAAAATACAAATGGCAGGGAGACCCTTCGCAGCAGCTCTGTACTTTCTCTTCCAGCCGGACACAGTCTCATCCCAAATGCCACAACCAGGAACTGTGTCCTGTGAGAAGAATCCACCTCATTTCCTCTGCACAAATGAGCAGCAGACACATTTGCTCATTTTCTTTAAGGGACACAACGAATCAAACTGAGACTTAGTTCAGTTTACTCTGTCATTACCTGTGCAGTGCTGAGAACTGAAATCAAAGCCCACATAGTTAAAGTTCTACTATTCAAATGCAAAGTCTGAGCTCTCAAAAGCAGCTCCTGCCACCCTGACCCACTCATTGAGGGTATCAGCTACTTGGCAGGAAAAGGGGAGTAGTCCTTTCTCCTGCTATGAGGACTGGAATATTAACCTTTTCCTGAAAACTAGTGCCCCCATTTGTCTCCTGCAGATTTCAACGATGGAAAGATAGAAAAAGACAGTTTGTGAATGCCACTCTAACTTGACATGGTGTTTGGTTTTTGGCTTTACATTGCACAATTTTTCAAGGTCAAGAAGCCCTGTTGATCTTATTCCAACATTGTGCAATGTTTCTATACTGTGGAATTTGTTTGGGGGAGAACAGAGTAATAATCCTATTGGCCCAGGAGGAGGTACCATGTAGAGACCTTACTGTTTCCTCAAGGAGAATCCTTGAAGTGTACTATGTAGATGGATGTATATGTGTATTGGTCATTTGAAATTTATAGCTATTTTTCTAGGCACCTGAGATACATTGGTGAACAAAACTGAGGAAGTGGTGCCTTCTCTTAAACCTGCATTTAGTAGAGTAAGATAATAAATGGAAAATAAATCAGATAAAATGTGGTCTAAATACAGAACTACCGCAGAACCATCAATAAGCACATTCATATAGATGGCCTTGGAACTGTCAACAAGGAAGCTGAGTGCCCAAGGGAACATTGAAAGCATTTTCTGGTGACTCCTCAGGTCTCTGGGTAGGTTCATGACTGGAGGTAGCTTGTCTAGCAGACACCTGAAGCACTTCTTCACAACCACGTGGATTTCCTCATGAAGCTGAAGGAGCATTCATGGCTGAAGGACATTTTACTTACCACTATTGCATGTGAAAGGCTTCTCTTCTTCATGAATGCTCTTACAGGCAAATAGTTCTGATACCTGAAAGAAGTCTTCAAGTGCACAGTATCAACATTACATTAACTCTGATGTGCAGGGTTCTACACATATGCTCACAAATGGGGAAACAAGTACAAAGAGCTAAAGTTATGTATTGTTCCGCCCCCCCCCCCTTTAAAAAAAAGATCAGCAGTTCCTACAGATTTGTAGAAACTCTCAGATTCATCTCACTTCCTTTCCCTGCTCAGGCTGTAAGGCAAAGCAGACCACAAAGCAAGCTGGCTAGGCACATTGACTTTGTGATTACTTTGCAAATGCATTATTTTTTCAGCAAGCTGTTATTAGGTACCTACTGTGTGTTGTGCACAATATAGTGAGTTTAAATGAGACAGCTCCTGTCCAGAGTTGACAGAATGTTGCTAGTAGTTCACAAAGATTGCTTCACACAGAGCAAATTGTTTTATAACCCAACCTCACAGAATGCCAACCTCACAGAATGCCAGGTCAAATTTGAGACTTTAAAGTTTCCAGAAAACATAGAAAAGAGTATGAACAAGTCAGCATAGGAACAAAATAACTGCAGAAGCTTATCTTTCCTTCTTTCCAAGTATGCCATGTGACCTCCCATCACAGGCCCTTAGCTGGCTACTTGAGGCATTTGATATACAACTTTCGCCAAAATAATAGCAACTACTTAAGTGGTGTTCTCTGCATGCTGGTTTTATTGTAAGAGATTTCTATAAATTCTTTTCATCTTTGCAACAACTCTATATATTTATATAGTTCTCTTTTGCCAATGGGGAGGAGGTCTGAGATAGAAGGAGCATGAATTTCACAAACACTGATTATAAGAATTGCACAAAGTGCATAACCATTTAGGACCAGGATTCCAAGAAGGTGCTTGGATCTGCTCGCTTTGGATCTGATGCGCCCTGCCGTCTCCTCATGACTTACCTGTCAGTCACCACTCTCTGCCACCTCACTGCACACAAAGTTATACATTTAAAAGTATAATGTCCTTGTCTGACTCTAACATTATTACTGTTGAAATTCATCTCATTGCACTTACCTGCTAGAATTACCTTTATGTCAAGGGTGGAGGTATTAATAGTTTTGATTTTGTTGGCAGCACTAGGAAAGTTTCATCTTTATGTCTGTACATCTTGAACCATGGTACAAACTGGATCAGAAAGTTTACTGGTGAAGGTCTATAGTAGTGCCTAGCAATACTAGAAACATAGGTCACTAGAAATATTCTTTCCTATCTGGGCCTATTAGTAGAATTATTTTGCCACTCCCCTCCAAGCCCTGAAAAGGCACATTTGAAAGTTTCTGACCAGCTTGCTCACATCTGGACTCACAGTAATTCTATGACCATATTTTATTCCAGACACTTTTAAGAAATTCATCAGGATGTGAAGCGCGCAGTGATGAATATCGAACGGAGTTTACCACAGCTTTGCAACGTGTTGACTTATTCATGGGCCAATTCAACCAAATCCTCCTAACATCTATCTCCACCTTCATTAAAGGAGACCTCACCATCGCTAATCTTGGGACATCAGAGGGTCGCTTCATGCAGGTAAATGCTGTCTGGAAGTGACTGTTTTATCTGGTATTATGCAGTACCTTTGTTTCTGTTCTTGCATTAAAATGTTTGCAAATACTGTAAAGTGAAAATCACAGTAAAATCTAGAGACACAGACTGAAAAAGCAGGACAATGATGCCTGGTCCACTTTTTATGAAGAGCATGGCCTATTTTTGTTCAAGTCTTGAAGCTTTCAGTTTAAATGTGGTTGCTTTAATTTTCTTGCCCAGAACAGTTTGGGGTTTGTTGGCTTGGTTTTTTTTTTTTTTTTTTTCCTCATTCATGATTTCCATCACATAATTAGAAAATAAAGTGAAACAATTAAAGCACTTCCAGGAGATGTTTTCCAGTTTCAAGGGAAGCTATGGATCAAAGGACAGTAATTGTGTGAGCTGAGTATCTCCATGAGAAGAAACATTCACATCATTGGGAAGTATTGGCAGGAGTTAGCAAAGGATATCATTATCAAACCCCACTGTACCTTCTCCAACCATCCTGATTCTGCAAAGGGGTGGGGTCAGACACAAAGTAGTTCAAGTACTGAAAAATTCTGTATTTTACGAAGAATTACTTTGATAGATAGCAGTTCACACTTAAGACGACCTGAGATAATGTGTTTCCTAGATACAAGAATCATGGCACTTTGCGGAAATTAAAATGCTCTTGCGTTGGCTATTTTACTGCTTTACTAATTGTTGGGTACTGTTCTTAACATGAGTTCATTGGTGGATTCTTGATTAATGCAAAGCAACAATAGCATCTCTGAAATGTTAGATTTCTACAAATACCAGAAATGTCTTTTAAAGAGACGCTAATTTCCTAATTGTCTGATCTAATTAACACCCTAGTCAGACAATGATTTCCAGTAAACCAATTGAGGATGATATTGTTTTGCTATGATTTGCCAATCTGCACATCCTCTGTACTTTTTTACAAAATGTAATTTTTAAAGTTACTACTGGCTTTATAGCAGTCTGAATAGTGGTCATTGCCATATTTTAAAAATAGTAAATCCTGTTCTCTTGTACTAGTGGCATGGTGGAATTTTTTTCATCATGATGCATGTAAATAAAACCTTCCTAGCTAAAAACTAATCATAAAGATCCTTTCATCTAAATGTCCCCACACTTAATCTCGCCTCCTCCCACTGCCTCACTGTTAACTACACTTTTTCTACCCCTCTTCCCTCTCTCCCAACCCAGTTCATAAGGACCGTTTAATTCTGTCCTTAGCTTCTCAAAATCTGAGGGAAGAATGCCCATACTCCCCACCACACACACACAGTAGACAGGTCCTACAACATATTTGAGATATGGTGGTATCTGTTAGCCTTCTGAAATGTGGAGTATTGTATTGTGTTTAGATGTATTTTTAATTTATATTGATATTATTCTACAGAATTACAAGAGTTTTGAAAGATGAGAGAGGTGCTATCCTCTAGTAAATTCCTAATGTTCTAATGACTATGATGATTTGCTTTCCTTTTATCTTTATTTTTGTTTGTCTTTTTCTCTAAACTATCTATTACCTCACCAATCCAGTTTCATATTAATAAGCTTTCTACAGTCACTTTGGGTCTGACAGTTTTTGACATCAAAAGGTTCCTGGCCTACTTTCAGACTCTAATGTCTAATAAAACCCCTGTATTTAGATAGATTGCCTATTATGTGTCTGCCTATTGAGTAAGTGGTAGATCCCAACACCCAGGTGAGAGGTCATGCATCATTCCATTACAACAGAAATGCTGTGGCAGATGTTTTATTCTTGTCCTCCAACGTTTCCATAAAAGGAGCTACATTACCTACGCATCCAAAACGTAAAGATGAAAATAAGTAGATGTTTATTTTAGGAAAAGTACTGATATCAGTAATTTTTTTAATCAGATAATTCTTAATTCTCAGATAAGAACAGAAACCCTGCTGCCTAGCAAATAAGTGATGATTATTATAGAAATTACCATTAAGGAATTAAATTTTAGTAGGGAGATAAAAGCATGTACCTGATAATAAGAGACAAAGACATACAAAGGGCTGTTGAGACCCACAGAAAATCTGTTTCTCTGACACTTGGCTAAGGGAATTCCATTCACTTGATTTTATGTAAATAAACATAAAGCATTTGAGGGATGAAAGAATCAGCATGGCTGAAGTCCAGTTGTTTACAGAAAACAATAGTGGGGGTGGAGTCAAGAGTGCAGCTGAGAAGTGGGGACTTTCTGGCTTGATCATCAGAGCACTATCTACCAAGTTCCATAAATGTTTTGACTATGTTAAAGTGCTAAGTCTGCGGCCAGACCTAAGTTTCTACAATGAGTGTTTTAATAAATACTATGAAGTTTCTGTTACAAAATAGAATGGTCATAATTTTTTCCCAAAGACAGCTGCCCTACTTGAAAAGGAACAGAAAAATGATTTTACTTCCTTCCTACCCTAAAGCCTTCAGGCAAACTTGCTTTGCAAAAATTTTCTCCCAAGAGTTTGCAGCTGTTTCTGCCTTTCCTATTGTGCTTATGTTCAGCTCTGGCTGGGAACATTAGCGACAGCCCCAGCTGTTGGGTGCAAAGTGAATCAGGTATTTCACAGTGGGTATTTGATTAGGAAGAATTATATTGTTTAGCTAACAATATCATGTGTATAACAGAGAAGATGTTTTTGACATGTTTCCAACATTTAAACATGTGTAACTTATCTCATACAGGTGCTGCTATGTCAATATCCTGATATGTATATGTTCTGGAGTCTATAGGGCCATGTCAGTGGACACAGACTTCAAAAACAGTTTTTATTTTAGGGATGCTTTGAAGTAAAATAATCTGATAAGCAATGTTTTAGATGGTATAAGTAAACAGTAAGAACACGCCTTACAAATTTTGAGGGGGAGGAGATGTCAAAAAAAATCAAGAATGGAAACACCGCAGTGTGCGGGGCTTTGTGGGAGAGGGGAGAGGAGACCCATGAAGATCACAGGACTAATGACAGGGATTGCCCACATCTCCCCTCTGAGCTTCTCGTCTAATCTACATCCAAAAACAATGCTTACTTGATTTTTTTTTTCTAACAGTGCTTGTATAAATCCTTTAATCTCTAGATGCAAGGCATTGCTATTAAAATGTTTGTGTATCACTGTCAGGCCAGAGAGAGTGAGCAGCTCAGGGGTTGATTGGAAGTGGGGAAGCATTTTCAAGATTTGAATCAAGTTCAGCGCCACAAACATGAGTGGGCAGCCACCTTGTGTGTATACAGTGGCCCCTCTCGGACACTGTGCCAATGTCCCTGGACTCTTTGGCATCCTTCTGGCTTTATTCGTGTTCTCTCCCTTCTCTCCAATTCCTTGATGCTGTTACCATTCATCACCCCTTTTCCCTTGTGCCTCTTAACTGGACTAGTTGGATTAAGCAAGAAATGTAAAGAGGTAGGAAACACCTAGAAAAACATTCTTAGCTAAATCATTACTTCTGCCTGTTACTAAAAGGAATATAGTAGTAATCAGCAACCTTGAGAATAACCACTCACATCCAGTAAGAATCAATTCATTTATTGACACCCTGTCTTCAAATTCTTTAGGTTTCTGTGCCACAATCATGCCACATCAATGCTTTGCATTGAAAGACTGTGGCATACATTAATTTGGAATTACTGCTATTTTAGAGATTATAAAAACAAATCATCAATTTGTCAGTGATGTCAGTATCCAGCAGAGATGTAGCTAAATGAATCTTGAGCATCTCTTTTTACCAGTCTCGTTTATATGATGCTCCGATAAAAATAACATCTGTCCCTTTTTTAATACATACATCATTGATTTTGTTACGTCCTTAAAGAATGGTAATGTTGGTATTTTTCCTTTAAATAAAATCTATTCATGAGTTCTGAAATTTCTTTTGTGCAAAAAAAAGAACCTATAGTAAATAATAATTTCAGTTATGTCCATAACTTAAGAATAAGCCGAGTTCATTTATATTCTCCTAAAATTAGTGAATGTGTTCTTTTGAAACATATATTTGATACATATGCATAGAAATTTAAAAGATTATAATTCTGAACCATGGGAAAATGTTAAGCTTTGTATGTAGACACAGGGAAGATTGATAATAAATAGAAACTCAGATTTCCTGTTTGGGTTCATACTTTAAAAGTACAGAGACATGAAAATACTTGTGTGTGTGTGTGCGCACACATATGTGTGTGCATACATACACATCAGTTGTTTTTTTTGAACATTTATCTCTTTAAAAATTCAAAACAGGGCCCTCCCTGGTGGCGCAGCGGGTTAAAGCACTGCACTAAGAAGCTTAAGCCACTTCCGCATGAGTTCGATCCCCGTCTACCCCAGAGGAGATCCACATGGCGTGGCAGACCTCTCCTGACCCGCCCACTGCTCCCCTCAGCAGTGTACTTGGTCCATCTGCCTGTTCTGCTCCCCACTCTGTTCCTGGTGAATCCTCTCACCCTCTGCATCTCTGGCCTGTACCCCAGTTCTCTATGAATAATTAAATAAATCTTTAAAAAAAAATTCAAAACAGATACTCTGTATAGACTGACTAATCCTGCAGTTATTCATAATTTTGATTTTAAAATAGTGGTTATTTTTAAATTGTTACAAATTTATTAGCTTATTTTCTTCTTAGATGTCTGAAATTTTCTAGCTAGTCCTTCATTTTGACTCACTTTGACTCATTTCACAAAAATGAAATATCAGTTTTCTAATAATACAGAAAATTGTTTTCCTTTTTGTATATGCCTGACCTTGGTAGTGTCAAGGTAATATAGAAGCCCTGGTGCCCATTAACCAAAAAGAACAAAGGAAAGAAAAGAGTAAAGCTTTATTTAATTCAAGTTTTGCCACCTGGTATGTTATCTTAGTCTTTTAATTTTAAGCCATCAGTACCAATCAGCAATTTCTTCTTCTTATCATGTTCCATTATTTTTCTCAGAGAGCTAGATGCTTACCTTGATTGAACCAAATAACTCTAATCTTTTTATCTGATTTCTTT